CCAATGCCGACCTACGAACGGACACAGTATTTGTCCGAAAATCAGTTTGTCTGGACACTGGACACTGATACCGGCCATCCATCCATCCCCGCATCCATTCGAAAACAATTAGGTGTTAGTGAGATAAAACACCTTCCGTCAAATACCAGATGTTCTTCGTGTTGCTTGTGTTGGTAAAATCAAACACATGTACACCTTCGCCAAATCAACTTTGCTTAATATTGTCTTCCGCCAAGGCACATGTACACCTTCGCCAAATCAACTTTGCTTAATATTGTCTTCCGCCAAGGCACATGTACACCTTCGCCAAATCAACTTTGCTTAATATTGTCTTCCGCCAAGGCGACTGAGCTCCATGGTGGGCGCGAAGTCGCCATAGTCAGCTATAGTGGAGTCCGGCGCATCGGCCTCGACGAAGAGTACCCCCTCACCGTTGCAGTCGATCTCCACCCTCCCCTCCTTGTCCCGGGTAGAAGGTGATGAGTGCCTCCGCCAGCGCTTGCCGCATCCGCTCGCCGTCGAAGAAGCCTTCCATGGCTGCTATCTCCACGGGGCGGCAGTAGAAGTAGACGCTGGGCGTGTGGAAGCGCGGCACCAGTAGGTCGAGGTGGGAGTTCCATAGCCGAGTCCGCAACGTCTCCCTCGCCGGCCTCACCATGGTTGATCGCCGCACCATGATCGCCATCTATCCGACCAAAAGAGCAAAGTTTGTCAACAAACCCCGAAAATTGAATGAGAACAAGTGCGCTCATGGGCACCGTAAAGTTGCGACAGAATACAAGAAAAAGAGCACCATATGCAGGAACCAGATGAAAAGGCGAAGCAAAGGCTGATCTTGGAAGAGAAAGCGTACTATGGTGACAGTTGGGCCACAACAACCGGTACGTACGTCTTGCCTCCCGATAGTCTTTATATATAGAAGAAAGAAGGCTCCTTCTGGATGGGAACTTGTGGCTCTCGGCTACTGCTGCACCAGGCAAAAACAATTTAAAAATTCAAGAAAAGTTCGAAAAATCTTGAAAATTTCTGGAAATGTACATGTCCAACATTAGTATCAATATAAAAAGTTTCACGAAGAAATACATTCAAGGTATTGCGCCCGGCCGAAAAGAAAATGAAGACTATAAAAGTTATTGTACATGAACAGTACCCTTAGAAATTCTTTTCTTGTCTGGGGTCAATGGAATTTTATTCCTGCCTTGAACTTTTTATACGTGTATAATGGTACGTCGACTTCGTATTCAAAAAAGTTTCGGCATTTTTTGACTTTTTCTGTATTTACTAAATTAATTTTAATTTATCAGGGGCAGTAGCACCCATGTGCACCGAGGGATTTCCCCTTCTATCTAGTAGTCCCTCTGTTCGTAAATACTCCGTATTTGTTTTTTTAGATTTCAAATGGACTATCACGTATGGATGTATATAGACATATTTTAGTGTAGATTTACTCATTTTGCTCCGTATGTAGTCACTTGTTGAAATCTGTAGAAAGACAAATATTTAGGAAGAATAATTTCCTGACTGCGTCCTTCTACCTCTACCTTCGTCCGTCAAAATCAGGAGTACGTCACGAATCAGATGATAAAAGGATAAAACCACCACTTTGAGGGCTAGCTTTGCGAAAAACACTAGGATACAAATTCGCTGCAGAAAGCACCACATCTTGCGTAATTCTTTTGCAAAAACCACTGATTGGCAGATTTGGCTCTGTTAAGTCAGTTTATGACAGGCGGGGCCTGTTTTTTGCCTACGTGGCGGAACTTTTTGTACCAGATGGGTTTTAATCTAAAATTACAAACTAGACCCTAGAATTTTACATAGACACCCCTAAATCAAAAATAAAAAACGCAATTAGCCCCCGCTTCCCGTTCTGCAGCAGATTGGTGGCGCGTGCAGAACGTCGTCTTCGGCATCAGCCTCGATCTGCGGTCGTTGGAGTGTCGAGGAACGGCAGGCTGCCCCTGCTGCTCCGGTCGTCGTCCTCCCGCTGTAGCCCCACGCGCTCACCACACCGAGCTGGTCGGGGCATTCCCGCCGGATCCGCTGCAGGGCGGGGACAGTGAAGGCCGATGTGCCCCGATTCGGTTGGGGGCACGACAACGGCGGCCGGGGGAGGCAGGGGCGGGG